AATAAATCACATCTGTATCGGAATTGTTATCGAATTTTAATTTATGACTATTATTTATTTTGTACACGTTTTATTCCAATAAGGGCCTCATATTATTATTATTAATAAACTTCAATTCAGTAAGATAGCTTCAATAATTCTAGCCAAAAATGTATAATGTATACGAGGATTGTGTGAAAAGTCCCAACCGCACCATGTATACCGCGCAACAGTCATTTACAAGATCTGCGCATCTCGAGAAACGCCTACTAAAATCTCAGCCATTTTCGATGACTGGTTGACAGTTGCTTGAGTGTCATTAAGAGACGTTATGAAAATTAAGAGATTCGAATACTAAAAGCAGTCATTAAATATTAGTTTGTAAACCTACGCAAGTTAATAACGAGAATTCTATTATTAACTACCGTAAACTTAAGGCAAGCTAAATTTTAACGTTCCAGACGTCCAAATGAAGACTATATTGCTCAAGCTCTCAAAAAACTGCTAGGCAGGTGCTACCAAGTCAAGATTAGGGCATGAAAAGATGTCTGGAGCAAAAAGGTATCGAAATGAACACATTCAACGCTCTGTTGGCGCAGTTTATGTAGACTACTAATGGCGAAATGTCACTAAAGAAAGCGAAACCTGTTTTTTGTCTGAAAAAGTGATGAAGACTGTTTAATAGAATATTCATAGAGCTTTCCTACTTTCCTACCTTTTCGAAAATATGTAGTAACATATTTTCGAAAATGGAGCTCTGAAACCATTATAGATTACTACGCTTCATTAATCAAAAAAACAGAAATGACAGAAAGAGGCCTCATTTATAGACAACATTTTTGTACCACCCAAGACATTAATGTTCTATCTAATCCCCGCAAAAAAAATCACAAATTACAGTTTAAATTCCTAGAACACCTTCTGTATTCGTCAAATTTAGCTCCCAGAGTCTTTTTCTTATTCATCAACTTAGAACCCACGCTCAGAGAACAAAGAATTTCATCAAACCTCAACTATTGTTTGTACGAGTTTACGTGGAAGCATCTTTTTAAGAAATGTGTGGCTTTCCAACAAAACGAATGTAAAAAAAATGTCATTAGGAGGTTGGAAAACTTTTTAGAATACCCTCGTATAAAAAAATAATTTACTATAAGTTGCTTAGCAACTTGAGTTATCTAGTTACAGTATATAATATAAAGTAGCATTGATCAATCAACACCAGTATACCGGAGTACTTAGTAATGTTACATTTTTATTGTTGCGATATTTAACAATATTCTAGTTTAGATTTGTTTACAAATCATGCATCAATAACTTACAATCCAAAGTAAATATTGGAATGGATTAATTCTTGTTGTAGTCTCTGACTAGTTTTATGCTTAGAATGTGCGATAATAAATAATTTTTGACAAAAATGGCAGTTTCATTTTAAAAAACTTGAGAATTTTTTTATGGGTACCCCGTAATATAAAAATAAAATAACCTCTGCTCTAAAAAGGGCAAAAGATATTCATTAAAATTCTCATGATAGTATTGATCAATCAATACATTGAAATTATGTGTTCTTTTTTATTTTTAGTTCATTTAAGGACTAATATTTTTTATTCGTTTGTATTAATCATAAGTCAATAGGTTCATATAGAATATGAATATAATAAAGTATCTTTAAATCTTACTGACGTCAATCTATATAACAGATTGCACTGTACAAACAGTTGTGTTTCTTGTAAAATATTTTTATTTGAAACTTTATCTAACATTATACAGTAGACTCTCGATTATCCGATCGCTGGATTATCCGAGTTGAGTACCATCGCTGTTGAAATCCGTATTAACCGAGCGACACCGTACTATTAGAGCATCAGGCCTAATATATCGGGTAATTACGGAGAATCCCAGAATTGCCGAAGCAACACAAACTGACTTTAATTATTATTGTTCGTTTGTCAAAATTATTAATAAAATATTTTAACGTAAGTATTGACATTTATTGAATAATACATATTGCTCGGATAATCGAGAGTCTATTATATCAATATTTATAAAATTTCTGCACCTAGTGCGTTCAGAGAGCAGCTATACTGCATTAATCCAGATTACTATATGCTTATGACGTCAGTTTCTTCTGCTTCAAAGCCTTCTTACATGAAGTTAATTTTCGAATTTCTCTGTATTAAAGCATATTTTATATTTTAATAAGAGTTTATTAAGGCTCTAAGTTATTTTAAGGCTCTTTTTCTTTGTAGTTTGCATTTTTTAAATTGCATATTTTTCGTTCTAAATGCTAAATATTTCTCCATAGAACTTTCTTATTCAAATTCTATAATTAACTTTTCTATATTTCTCTATTACTGTTTTTCTTTTATTGATTTTTTAATATAAAGTTTTATTTTTTGCTTCCCATTAATAATTTTACAAAATACTAGTGTTTATTATGGTCTATTCAAAATCAGAATATTAGTAACTGATTAAATCAACTATTATTTCCATAAATGCCACCGAGATTATAATGTCTAATTTTTAGCCTAAATGACATGAAAACTCCTTTTATCAGCATTCGCCCGCCCTCCTAATCGCAGATACAAAAAACATAACCTCAATTTTTATATGAATCATCTGAATTCAGTAATATCCAGGCCGAGGTTAGTGTTAATTTAATTATTAAAAGAATTGGAATATTATTGAGAAAGAAAAAGTCAAGGCAGGTAATTTTTAGGAAAAGTTTAGTCATTAACAAGAGATAAGTGTAAAAAGCCTACTTCATTAGTATCTATTTTTAAATTTAGCTTCATTTAAACAATTTAAACTAGGTTCTTGCATATTATAGAAGTTTAATAATTACGGTATATTATTATTCAAATCCCTATTCTATGTTAATACCATTTAATAATCAATATTAATACTGAAATATCCAATAATAACACCTGTATTTGGTAAGTGATTTTTTAGAAAAACTACTGGTGGTATTTTTATTATAACGTACACAGTTTTTTTTCTTTTATTCTCTTGAATATTTTCTATTTCGCTCTCTTACTCTACAGTTTCGAGTATTTTTATATTACTTTCATTTAATACTAATTTCTAAATTCTGCTGGTCATTGTTTATGTCAGAAACGACGTTTTTAAATGACTTTCATCCCCATTCTCATTTTCCCAATACCTACGAACCAATCTAACGCTTAAGGATAGAGGACTGGTCCAAAGTACCTAATAGAGTGTAACTTCGTTTATTCACATTCAAGGAAAAGTACAAAAGAAAAATTTACAAAAGAAAACTTACCATGAGATTACCTAGCATTAAAATTATTTAGATAAAGTGTTATTGTACATGATATATTCATACGATACCCGCTACACTTCACCCCGTGTCTAAACTCCCGGTATTTCTTCGTTTTTGACGATTTCAGTAACGCACGCATCTATACAGTATGTCCCGGACGTGGAGAAACTGTACAGGATGTCCAGGATAAGAATGCCCTATGTAGAAACCTCAAAAAACATAAAAAATGGTTAAATGAAATGGAAAATTAGCCGTTGTTGAATTCTGCTCCGCTATGTTCTCAAATTTAATAAACCGTATATTTTCTGAAAGTATTTGAACAAGAAATTAATTCTCTCCTTTTTCATATTTCATTCTTTTATAATACTGTATCATCGAGAAAAAAACGGTGTCATAGTAGTAATAATCCATGATGTCGGCTCGACCCAATATGTCATTTATTAAAAAATATGACGCCACTGTCGCCTTCAAAATTATTAGTAATTTGTGCTATTAAAAAACACTCTAACTGTAATCTTGAAATGATAATTTGTGCCGGACCGACCCAATATGTCATTTATTTAAAAAAAACGGCGTCATAGTAGCCTAATGATAATCGTTGATAATTTGTCGGGCAGATCCCAATATCTCATTTATTAAAAACAAATGGCGTCACAGTAACCTTTAAAATGAATATTGGTAAGTTTTGTGGAGCCGCCCAAAATATGTCAAAATTAATATTTATTTGGAAAAAAAGTTTAAAAATTCCAGATACAAATTTGTTTAAAAACTGAATAGTAGTGTGTAGAGTGCACGGAAAACTTTGGCCACGATGACGCCGTTTTTTCTATCTTGTGTTTCTATCTTGTCTTGTAATTTTAACTTTGGTAAAAGATATAGTAAAGCTCTTCTAATGTCATTTCAACGTCTATTGTAACGTTGTTTTTATTTCTTGATAAAAGTTAAAAAAAAACACCATCAAGGTATAGGCATTGTTTGGCTTTTATTATTTAATCACACGGTATATGTTTTTATATATTCAATGTTACTTTTCCCTTCCAAAGATGCTTGTCAATATTTATCAATTTTGATTTTTCTCTGCTGTTTATTTTATTTTTTTTTCATATACTAGTACATATGTAGTTCTTTATGAGGAAGCACACAATATCTCATTTTGCAATAATATTGATTTATTTAATCTCTCTTTGAAAAAATATAGTTCTTCTCGCTAAAATTTCCTAATGCCAATGATGTCAATATGTAATGCTATGAATCGAGTGAAAAATACCTGAACTGTAGACACAGATTCTCAGGTAGACGCCAAGTTGCGGTCTCTGTGTTTAGAATAATTCAAATTCTTTTTGGTTGGTTAAACTTATATGTTTTTTATTATTTAAATACTGAAATTATGATTTCTTTGATAAAAATGAGAACATGACAGTTCAAAATTCAACAATGCAGCACCTCAATATTTTATTTAACCATCAACCAGTTAACAAGATCTCCACCGAAAGCCTTCTTATCAGGAACATCCTCTGCACATAGATTTAGATTAAAAAAAAAAGATTAAAAAAATCGAGTTACTAAGTTATAGCTGGGCGGTAGATAATATCGAACAAAAGGACACTTGTGGTTAAACAGTTTCAAAGGATTCTGCTCCAGTTCGGCTGCAACACGATGGCGCTGCACCATACGAAGAGCCGTCCGAACCCAACCTGAAAAATAAAACACCGGTTAGCATACAAGTCTGACAGAAACTTACGTTTTGGTTTGGGCGGGATCAGTTTGATAGCGCCCGGCCTCTCGGGCACGTCGATCTTGTCGATCTTCAGCTTCTTCTCTGGGGGAATCCCCGAAGGGGGATCTCTAGGGGGCGACGGCCTTTTCTGGGGAATCGTGGGCAGCTGGACACTGGGGGTGGGTTTCTTGGTTGACCGCGGCGGCGGGGGCTTCGCTTCTTCTTCCAGACCCGTCGATCGCATCTTGGAATTGAACACTTTCACGGTCTTGGAGCGCGGTTCTTCCCCGGTGGCTTTCCGGTTCAGAATCGAGAACGACGGCTTTTTCTTCTCCTCTTTCGATTTGTTTTCTTTCTGTTTTTCGTCTGAACTGCTGGATTTCTTCGGGATCCTACCCAGTTTATCCAAGGTTGGTGGTTTCACCTTTTCCAACGTGTCTTTATCTTTCTCGGCCTGTTTCTCTTTCGTTTCAACAGGGTCTTTCACCTTGCTCTTATCTCTAGACTCTTTTTTATCTTTACTACTACTACTGCTACTCCTGCTTGACCGCGAAGATCCGTTATGTCTGTGTTTATCTTTATCCTTGTCCCTATCCTTTCTGTCTTTATCTTTAGAACTACTGGATGACTTACTACTACTTTTACTACTTGAATGACTTGAGGATGACCTTCTTTTATCCCTTTCTTTATCCTTACTACTACTTGAGCTTGATTTACTACTACTTTTCAATGACGACAAACTGTTCTTCGACTTGTCATTTTCCTTCTCAGCTACTTTTTCTTCCTTTTCAATTTCTTCTTTCAATTCCTCATTTTTAGCTGTTTGTTTCTCGTCTGCTTCTAGAGACAACTTCTTAATAACCTGTTTTCCATCCTTTACCGACACCTTATAAAAGTTACTGGGTTTAATGGCCTGGTGATTATCGACGTCCATTTTATCAGATTCCTGAACGTCATTAGGCACAGCATCTACAATTTCTTTATTAATTTTACTGTCATCGACGTTTTTAGGCTCTACCACTGCCGGCTCTGAATCGGGTTTTTCCTGTGCCTGAATCGAATGCACAGGTGTAGGATGGCTCGATCCTTTAACAATAACCAACCAGTTTTGAACGATTTGGTTTGACAAATGCGCAACGCCTGAAAGAAAAACTTACTTTTAATTTCAGGCTCAAAAAGAGAAAAATTACTTAAATTTATTTAAGTAATTTTCAAGCTAAATTTCTCTAAATAACTTATTTATGATTTGAAAAAAGAAATGTGTTAAATTAACAGATTATATGTCAAAAATAAAGAAAGATAAATCACTTAAATGTATTTAAATAATTTATGTTTTGAAATTAGGTATTTACATTTATTTTTAAATTTTATTGAAGTAATTTCTATACTAATAAGATGTCATGAAAAAAATAGCTTATTAAATTTAACTAATTTTTTTTGAACTATTTAAAATTATATACTCAATTTAAAAATAAATAAAGTAAATATATGATTTCATATTTTATTTTACTGAAATAATAAATATGTTAAACAGATGTCATGCAAAACAAATGAAGGGTAAGGGAGAAAAAACAGATGATGTCACAAAACTGACTTAATCGAAAAAACTGATTGAATGTTTCCAAATACCATGTGAAAGTTAGAAAAAAGTTATTAATGTACGCGTGATTATCTGAACTTCGTTTGTTCTATTCAATTACAATTTAGCATGTTTGGGACTTTGTATTCCTAACAGGTGATTACTTAAAAGTTCCTATAAAATTGACATTATTGTTCTTTTTTCCCTTGCCCTTCAAATATAAACGACAATTATATCATATGATCGAAAAAAAACCGCGACCAGCTGGCTTGGAAATGAACATCGTTGTCATTCCCCATATAATTTTACATATAAAATAACAGCGATCTTCTTTCATCAGAGAAGATAATATTTGAATTTTATTTTTGATTTGATATTTCACTTTTTTATTTTGTAGACAAGTAGGAATTTTATATTATGTAGAATTGTGTATAAAAAATCATTGCTTTTGCACTATGCTTTACTTTCATATTTTCGTTTGCTGATTTTAGTAGTTATATTAAAATTATATTTTTATACCTAATAACAGTGTATAATAAAACTTCTTTTAAAACTTGATACTTTCATATTTTCATTGTGAATATTAAATTAAAGTATTATACAGCTTAATAATTAATGAAATTAATTTTATTCAGATCTTAAAAAATCCAAAAATTTTAAGATTTCAAAAAATTACAATGACAATTAAAACCGAATAAAAAGTACTATTTTTTTGAAATTCTATAAACAATATCAAAGCTAAATATGAGTATTTCTAAAAAATAAAAAAAACACTCAAATCAATTTAAATAAAAGATAGTAAAGAATTGATATTAGGTATTTTCCATAAAGACATGTTTTAAGAACTAGCATACCATAAATAGCAAAAAAGATCAAACAATTAGAAAATACAAAACTTAAAATCTAAAATAAAATTATATCAAGGGTTCAATGACTTACCGTCAAGGTCATCACGGCGAGATAGATTCTTAATCAATTTAGGTAAACAGTTCATTTTCAGCCTTTCCACGTCCACCGGAGTTATTAATAGAAGTTCCAAAATCTCCTTCACCAAGTCCCAGTTCCCTGACTGGGCCGCGTCCTGAAGCCATGACTGGATCAAAGTCCATCCGCCCTCCGCCATAAACATATCCACCAAACTGGTTTCGGTGTTTTTCAATATTAGGACGTAGACGCACTTGCTTACTAATTTCTTTGAAAACTTAGTCATCAGGCTACAGCGATAAACGTATCAATTAGTACTTTCAATATTACGTAATCACGAAAATAAGCTTACTTTACTAATCTCGGTACCTCGTCTCTAGAATGAATACCTCCTTCCGGGCTGAGCAGCACCGAGAGACACTTTATAAGTTGCAATGGATCGATACGCGGCTAAAATGAAGAGAATTTTTAAATTTCCCGCACATGTTCCAACTTCGAACAACTTCCTCTGACGTCATCAAAGATGGCTGCCAGCAATTAAAATTAATTATAAAAAATATATTATAAATTAAGTGATGCAATAGCTTTGGCTTGAAATTTACAAGAACGAAAGTTTTGCTTTTACAAAACACGTTAATGCAATCCAAATAATAGATTTTAGCAGTCAAAATTAAGATTAAAAAGTAGCCTTACCATATTGTGACCTTTGATGTATTGAAATCGCACTAATCTAATTTTCCACTCTACTAGAATTATTATCTTACTAAATAGTAAAATTTATGTTTGAAATGTATTAATTTTAACATTATCTGCACCTAAACTTATAAGCTTTAAATATCGCATATGGACGACCAACGCCCATGGCGGACCCCTAGCTTACAAAACGATACGGGTTAATATTATAGTAATATCTTATCGTTCTATATTCTACAAATGTTATATTTAAACTATTTTACTCTATATATGGTATTAAAACAACAAATATATAATCTGAATAATTCTACACGAAAAATCTGTAAAATTTACGCTGCTGCAGCTCAAACCGATATAAAGACAAAAGTGAAATCAATAATCTGACGTTGGACGTTGGCATAGATACCAAACTAAAAAGACAAAAGCGGATGTTTGCCATTACTTCCTGTCAGTTCAGCAACTTTGTGGGGTATATTATTTTTCCCAATTTAAATTTACAAACTCACATATCTTGTTAAATATTTTTGCTAAATTAGTAAGTAAATGCCAGTCAAAAATTAAATGTAGATCCAGTTAAACAAATTTATTGACGCACTAAAGTCTCTAACTTGACTACAATTTAATTTTTTATTTTTGACTATTGGCAACACTGACAGTATTAATTTTTTGGTCGAATCATATATAAATCGAAAAATGGGACTCCCATAGATTAACAACATTAGCGCTATAAAATAGTTTAATATGACTACGGAGCCAGCAGTTTAAAAAAACGAAAAGAGGAACCAGAAACATAAATATGACAAAAAATGACAATCTTTCTAACCTGAAAAAAATAGGTGTGTACTTTTGTAAATTTTTGCAGTTTGTGAGTCAGAAAAGTGATCAAAATGGCCAAAAACACTTCCAGTTCGGCCTTTAGAAAGATAGACGTAGATCAATATTGTGAAGATAATTATAATGAGGAAGAAATTGAGCAAACAGGCCCACAAGGACCGGACGAAAACGAAGTGAAAAACTTGATACAAAAATATCCTTTTTATCTTAATTTAAACTGATTTAAACTCTCTTTTTTTAAATCTCTTATTGCTAATTATACTCCTTAACTTTTATACACAGGAAAACTACTAGATGCGTTAAGAATAGTTCTAGTTAATGCCCCTTTAGGGAGTAAAAATCAACAAATAAAGGTATGTAGTTTCAAAATAATTTTTAAAACGGTTTATCTTATTTTTTATTCTGTAGGAAAACGCTCTGAATTTGACTTTAAGAGTTCTGTTATCAGTAAAGCCATCACAAATCGAAGAAGCTGTCAATTCTTTAGATTCTGATCTCTTGGATGTCTTAATGAAATATGTATATAAAGGCTTTGAGAACCCATCGGAAGGAAGCAGTGGGCACTTGCTTGTCTGGCACGAGAAAGTGTATAATGTTGGTGGAGTTGGATGTATTATTAGAGTTTTATCAGACACTAGAAGGGTTTAACTACTGAACCTGTTATTGGATGTATGCAATAAGTGATAGGATATGTATGTAAACGAATATTGTTTTTATATTTAAGTATTAAATACACAAATAGAAATAGACCAAAATAACTTTAAAAGTCTTATTTGGCCTTATAATTTTATATATAACTTGAATTAGTGTTAAAAATGGGTTTAGAAATTTATTCAAGGAAACAATATGTTGAGAAATTATATATTTTAGGGATCAGTTTTTACAAAAACAATATTTTCGTAAGAAAGGTAAAGTTTTCTCCACACATCTCGCCTGTCTTCCATACATATTTGTTCTGCTAATATCACTGATTTTTAATTCCATTTTATCACTTTGTCGGTAATGCTTAATAGAAGCTTCAAACAAAGACTTTCCGGGCATAAATAACGCTTTGATTTGATATAGGTCAGTTTTAATATCCATTGTTGCTGATAGATCTGCAACAAACCCATCAATATCAGCATTTCTACTGAATTTCAGTAACATTTCGTTAGGCGCCAACTTCATAGCCCAAATAATATTAGACAAGGAAAGTTTTTCACATATATCTCTATGCACATTAGTAAAATTGTTTATCGTATGAACTAATACTTCTCCTAGTCTATGAACAATAGGATTTGATAAATCTATATGTTTCCAGTCTAAACAGGCACACCAATGGGGTTCTATGTAAGCATGAGCACATGATCTCTCTTCAGGTATCTGAAAAATAAATTATTTTTAGTATAATAATAAATCTAAACTTGTTCATATAAGGGGAAAGCATTGAATGAATTGAATCTAAAAACAAATTTTATAATTTTATTGCTGATACTTTTCAGACTACCCATGTATACACCAATACTAACTTTCGAAAATAATGAAACAGCTCTCTGGTTAATATCAGCAACGCCAGTATGTTTCAGGTCTATAATATCCTTTAAGGTCTCATAAATATCAAAAGGCGTAACCAGTTTGTCCTCGTTGAGTTTAAAATTCTTGTAAAGATGCGGGTAGTTTTTTTTAAACCAAGGTGGAAATGTAAAGGAAAAAAATGGTAATCTCTCTTCTTGTTTCCCTTGTATTGTGTTTCTAACATCTGCAAATCTTTAAATAACGTTTATTATTATAGAGAAATCACAATTTTTCGTTTTTTTTGTTAGTGACAAAGCATAAAAATAAAAAGGATTAAAAAGCTAAGAAATACCAGTGCAACATTATTAGGCAGAATTACAGAATGTTTCATTATGTTTAAAAAAGATCCTGTAGACTGAATGAAGAAAATTAAACAAAAAAAAAGTAATTTTGCCTATAGCCCCGTCTACAAATTACGTGTTACCTGTCAGGTATGAGGAATTACAGACAAGTGTATACACGGTTTTATCAATCACGGCATTGTGTTTAGTGTTGTTGAAAAGACGAAATGGAATTTTACTAGCAAATTGTATTTATAGTTTAAATTTTATTTGTAAACACGCAAAGTTAAGAGCTCGAACACACTGACGACCAGGTCGAACCGGCCAGGCCGCTACTACCTCTAAAACCATTAAATCAAATGATACAGCGCACACTAACGTCCCTGGCCGTCCGTTGGTCGTTGCGACCAGTAGACTGCACTAAAATATTATTTTCTGCCGCTTGTTGCCGGTTTTCTTCCAAATTAATAATTTTTCACACAATATTTTATTTTCTATAAGATATAGTGTTTTAGTGTAGTTTTTGCACACGTGCAGAAAATCTAAAGAAATAGTATACAGACTGGATCAAAGGGAAACTTAAATCTAGTCCCTTTTTTATCAAGGGTCGATTCTAGTAAAAATTCAAAACATTTTTATATGACATACTCTATTTATGGTTAGTATGATACCTTCGAGTTTTGATGTTAAAAAATAAAAAAATCGTATTTAAGTTTTTCTACAACCACTTGTTTTTTTTTATATTAAATTAGTATTTTTATTTGTATTGCAGTCATGTACAAGGAGGACAACAGTATTTTAAATATTATATTTAATTTGACGTTTTTCGAACAGGGTCCATTAGACTATATTTCTACTAGGTACATTAGTTTTAAAAAAAATAAGAGTAAAAGTAACTTAAACATTCATAAAAATAGAAGTATTTACTGTTGTAGATTCTCAGTAACAATAAAAAAGAGGAATTTATATTGTAAACATTGAAATAACTGGAAGCTAAACTTTCTACCTGCTTATATTTAGAGCCAGTGTTTGACGACCTTTTTTTACGATGGCCCTAATATGTTTACTTCTAAAGTCGATAAGAGCTATCAGCAGAAGTCCATATGAGTAGAAAAAGAAACAGAATATCTCCCTTTTGTCGGTCGCGCGTACACAATGCTTTTGTTCGGCCTATTTGTTCTGCTTGTTCGCGCGTGCTCGATTTGTTCGGGCTAAAACGCGTAAGTCGGGACGCACCTTTAGAAACAATACTGTTTTTGTCCTTTATTGATATAATGCTGAAAATCTCACGAGTTACATGTCTCACTCTACACATATTAAATTACATAGACGTAGGATGTAGAATATTCTGTTATGAAACGACTGATGAAATAGCAGGCATCGCGGTTGAAAAACATGGAAATAACGACGTTATCGTGTAGTCGGGGTTGATATTTTACTTACCCATTTACCACACCAGTATTTATTAACGAAAATCCAAGAATATTTTAAATGCATTATTTAATATTCGAACATTTAATAAGCTCATGAATAGTAACTTCGCTTTTAGTTAACTCGGATATTTTAACATTCTGAGACTTAATTCTTTCTGAAACAATATTTTCTAATTGATAAAACGTAAAAATCGTTAGATCTGACAACCCTGTTGAAACTGGCCGTTCATCTGGCCGCAGTTATAAACGCAATACATCCGGCCAGCCGACCGCCAGGTCGTTGCGACCTGGTCGTCAGTGTGCGACCTTGTCGTCAGTGAGTTCGAACTCTAATTCTGAAATTATTATCGTTTGGTTATAATCATCAAATATAAAACTTGCATTCAAAGAAAATCTATAAAATAAAATAGTTAATTTTTATAAACACTTCTGCGTTAATCCAACGAAGACCAATTTGTCAGGAGTGATTTACTAATCAATAAATTTGTGCCTGACGGACAAAAAATGCTTAACGTTTCGGGAAGTATATCTCTTCCCATCGCCGGAAGCAAAAAAAAAACAAAAAATATACTACTTAAGAACAGTTTAGTATTTTTAACAGATACGTCTATAAAAACCGTCGACGTTCTGTTAACAGCGCTTTCAGATGGAACGGACCGTCCGCGACTTCGAGCAAGTACCATGAGTTTATATGAACAATTTCACATGGGTCGCGTATTAGTCTAAGAGCTGGCTACATAAAAAACCTTATCATCGTTACATGGCTAATTTTTTGTGTGAAGTATCCTTTTGTGTAGCCATTATGAAATAGTTATGTCTGCCAGCGCGATCCCGGGGCTTAAAGCGAGGGCGGCCAATCGAAAGGGTGAAATTTGGACATTCATAAAAATAGAAGTATTTACTGTTGTAGATTCTCAGTAACAATAAAAAAGAGGAATTTATATTGTAAACATTGAAATAACTGGAAGCTAAACTTTCTACCTGCTTATATTTAGAGCCAGTGTTTGACGACCTTTTTTTACGATGGCCCTAATATGTTTACTTCTAAAGTCGATAAGAGCTATCAGCAGAAGTCCATATGAGTAGAAAAAGAAACAGAATATCTCCCCTTTTTGTCGGTCGCGCGTACACAATGCTTTTGTTCGGCCTATTTGTTCTGCTTGTTCGCGCGTGCTCGATTTGTTCGGGCTAAAACGCGTAAGTCGGGACGCACCTTTAGAAACAATACTGTTTTTGTCCTTTATTGATATAATGCTGAAAATCTCACGAGTTACATGTCTCACTCTACACATATTAAATTACATAGACGTAGGATGTAGAATATTCTGTTATGAAACGACTGATGAAATAGCAGGCATCGCGGATTTGAAAAACATGGAAATAACGACGTTATCGTGTAGTCGGGGTTGGATATTTTACTTACTCCATTTACCACACCAGTATTTATTAACGAAAAATCCAAGAATATTTTAAATGCATTATTTAATATTCGAACATTTAATAAGCTCATGAATAGTAACTTCGCTTTTTAGTTAACTCGGATATTTTAACATTCTGAGACTTAATTCTTTCTGAAACAATATTTTCTAATTGATTAAACGTAAAAATCGTTAGATCTGACAACCCTGTTGAAACTGGCCGTTCATCTGGCCGCAGTTATAAACGCAATACATCCGGCCAGCCGACCGCCAGGTCGTTGCGACCTGGTCGTCAGTGTGCGACCTTGTCGTCAGTGAGTTCGAACTCTAATTCTGAAATTATTATCGTTTGGTTATAATCATCAAATATAAAACTTGCATTCAAAGAAAATCTATAAAATAAAATAGTTAATTTTTATAAACACTTCTGCGTTAATCCAACGAAGACCAATTTGTCAGGAGTGATTTACTAATCAATAAATTTGTGCCTGACGGACAAAAAAATGCTTAACGTTTCGGGAAGTATATCTCTTCCCATCGCCGGAAGCAAAAAAAACAAAAAATATACTACTTAAGAACAGTTTAGTATTTTTTAACAGATACGTCTATAAAAACCGTCGACGTTCTGTTAACAGCGCTTTCAGATGGAACGGACCGTCCGCGACTTCGAGCAAGTACCATGAGTTTATATGAACAATTTCACATGGGTCGCGTATTAGTCTAAGAGCTGGCTACATAAAAAACCTTATCATCGTTACATGGCTAATTTTTTGTGTGAAGTATCCTTTTGTGTAGCCATTATGAAATAGTTATGTCTGCCAGCGCGATCCCGGGGCTTAAAGCGAGGGCGGCCAATCGAAAGGGTGAAATTTGGACACTAAAAATATTATAAGGTACACGAGTTATAATTGCTAAAATAGCTTTTATTTATTATTAAGAAACGTGGAAAATTGTTGGCAGACATTTTTCTGGTCGCTAAAATGCCGACAGACAACGCGAAAGAGGCATGAAATTTTAAAAATTATCTCGAAAATTATTAAAAAATGAAATTTGAAGAATGAAAAAAAATATGGCATACATGCATGCCGATTGGTGGAATCTCATATTTATTTATTTTAAAAGCCGTATGCAAAAGGGCAGACAAAAATATCGTGGCTAAATCAGCTGCAGACAGTTATCAAAAGCGCGATATTACTCTAGCGCTTTCAGGGAACGCTCGCCGCCTCATCCATTTAAGTATAGATAAATCATGTATACAATTATATTATAAATATATTTTTTTGTTATTTCAAAACAGATATCATACATTTACTATTCTGTCTTACCTATTTGTATCTGACTCGTCGTACTGCACATCCCCGCTCTCACAAACGAGTCTTCCTCTGAGTCGATATCTGCACCGTAAAATTTTTATAGACTAACAGGTATTATGTTTCAATTGATAACACGGCCAGCGTTTCCTGAAAACGCTTATACAGGGTGAGTCTTAAATAAGTGAAAATACTTTTAAGGGTGATATATTTCGACCCCAGGAACACGTCTGAGTTTTTTTTTTCGCATAAAAAGATGTAGAAAATCGTGCATTATTTTTTAATTTTCCTGTATATTTAAAAAACTTCTTAGAATTGCCTGTTCACCGCAAATTTACCAGCGGTATAATTATTTCTTAACCTACATATCATGCTTACGGCTTTACTCTATGGCTACGACACTAAAATAGTGGATGCAAGTACAGAAAAAACAGGTATCTCACAAAATTATTTAAAAATAAATCAATTTCTTTTTTAATTTTCAAACTTGAAAAACTCGGCTATTTTCTACTTATTTGGAAAACGGTAAAAAGAAAATATATTTCTTTTGTCGAGATCTACCAGCTCTGAAAATATTTGCTTATTCAAGATTCACCCTGTAGAGTAATATCACGTTTTTTATAACTCTCTACCACTGATTGAGCCACGATTATTTTGTTTATCCTTGTGCATGCGGCTTTTTAAATAAATAAACATGACATTCCTCCAATCGGCATGCGTTCCATGACAATTCCTCCATGTATGCGTATGCCATGATTTTTTTGTCAAATTCCATGCCTGTTTCGGGTTGTCTGCCGGCATTTTAGCCACGAGAAAAATGTTTGTCAACAGTGTTACACGTTTCTTAATAATAAATAAAAGCTATTTTCGCAATTATAACACGTGTACCTTATAATATTTTTAGTGTCCAAATTTCACCCTTTCGATTGGCCGCCCCCGCTTTAAGCCCCGGGATCGCGCTGGCAGACATAACTATTTCATAATGGCTACACAAAAGGATACTTCACACAAAAAATTAGCCATGTAACGATGATAAGGTTTTTTATGTAGCCAGCTCTCCGTCTATATGCTCCGTCCGGATGATTTCGTCCGAATGTATTATATCCATATGATTTTTAGTAAAATTACTTATATTTTTTTCAATGTAGACAAAATGGCAGATTTGTTGTAAGATCTTTTGGATCTCGTCAGATCTCTACAGTTCAAGTAAAACGCTTCGTTTTTTCGTCTACACAATGTTTTACTTGATACATTTTGACTGAACAGGTAACACTGACCGGTAAAACGTTATGTAGAAGGGGCTTAAGAATGTCAGAAAATACCATCACCAATATTATAAAAAAAAACTAAAATACCTGAATTTTGACACAATTTTGAACAACCCTAGTGGTTTCTCTGTATAACCTAAATTAAAACCAAATATCTCTGAAAGAAATATAATGATCTAAAATGGATTTTTTTAAATGTAACAAATGTTAGACACTTCCAATATTTTCCTAATTGGTTTTATTAACATTTTATTACATAAAAACTAAAATGTGAACGACTACGGCAGGTGTAACTGCAAATATAATTCTAAAAAAACTGCTGTTACTGTTACAATTATGTCTTACCTATGACCATGATCAGCCATGATAACTAAAACTGTGTTATTCAGAGCACCTGATTCGTTCATTTCTCCTAGCAGAGCAGCTAAATCTTGGTCAGCTACCCCAATTAGATTGTAGTCGTCATGGGATAGCTCTCCATGGAATCCGAAAAGAAATTTCGGTTTTGACTGATATACACTAAAAAACTAAAAGTTTGGTTGTTTTTAATGTGTCGGGTTCACAACAAAAATTCTTAAATATCTCGAGAACGGGCGGACCGATTTTTATGATCTTTGAATTCTCTACAGTGTTGTTCACCACATACGACAAGGAGTATTGTAGCTAAACGATTAGATTTTTACAAATTGTAAGTTTTGGGTTCGTTGAAAGACTATTAGATCTACAATTGAAAAATATTTTTACAAGAGAGAGTGTCCCAAATAAAAAATATTAAAGTTGTATTTTTTTTAATGGAACACCCTGTATATTATTACATTTTTAGTTTCTACGATTAAAATAAAGGTAAATTTGATTAAGGTTTATGACACTTAAACCTTACCGTTTTTGAAATATTTTCAATTTCGTGAAATCGCAGTAGAAATTTTAAGGCTTCATTTCTCCAAGGATATCAAAGTTTTTAATACTAAATATTTACTGAAGTTTATTTATTGATCAGTTATTATATTGCAATAATAAAAATAATACTACCTCATACAGAGTGTCTAAAAATTTATTTAAAATAATTTCTAGCTTTAAGCGGCAATAACTTGTTTAATTTAAATGGAACACCCTGTATATTTTATGAGAATCAGATGCACAATTTAATTATCTATCAAATTGTGTTATACTATTTTTTACATATCCCTTCAAGTTTTCGTAGAAAATGCATTTTCTTAAAATTTAGACTTCATTTATCAATATATCCATGGAATATTGACATTTAAGATAGTTTTTAGCCCATTTGTATAAAAAATGAAAACTATTTAAATCTTTATAAAAGAGTATACCATTAATTAAATATACCACCATTATTTCCACCTAAATATTAATTAATTACACACTTAATTGTGTTAGTTAATAAATTATTCGAAATAAATGTGGATTTGAATCAGAAATCAATATAATAATAAGTTATCGACAATATTAGTCTTAGACTCTTTAAAAATTTGTTACATCTTTAAAAATAATCTAAAATGTCAATATTCCATGGGTATATAAATGTAATAAATGAGTATATACTAAGGACTGACAAAGGTTAGTCTTGGGTCGAGATTTCCGTATGTAAGAAGAGTACAATGCGTTTATAATGTACTGAACAAAGAGAGGACCGTAGGACCGTAGGGGATATAGCAGATTTGTCTATTATCTATTGTTCTAGGGAAAGGTGTACATCATGCGTTCAGCTTCACGATTTAATTACGTCTCGTGATACTTAATTTGTTTATTTATTAACGAGTCGTTGTAATTTTCCCTATAGCTTGAATTTTTTTTAAGTGCAAGCTGGAAACACTTGCATTTTTGGTAAAAATAAATGGAATTGAGTGGGTATTCGATAGTGGTCGCGCTATTAGAACTCAAAAATGAATTCAAAAATCGATATCCCGAAATCTATTAGAAATAATAGATTGTAGTTTTTTCAAGAACTTTGTTAATATTTCTGCTGTATTTTCATTGTAGACTTTGTAGTATGTGAAAATCTTTGCTGTATGTAAAAATTACATTGCTGAAAATTGCTATGCTCTAAAAGTAAATGGATGGATTGTTTACAATTTTTGAATGGAAAAAACAACCTTTTCGAATTTTTCTTATGTAAACATATTGTAAAATATCCGATCTTGAAAATAAAAAGAGTTTCAATATCTAAAGTGGTTCTTGAGTTATGGCCTGCTATGTGTTAAAAATTGAGTTTTTAAATTATCGCGATTACTGACGTTTTCTCGTTATAAAAAACTGACACCCTAACGATATCCTTATAATTCCATTTCAGATGCTCAGAAACATGTATAATTATTTTATCTAGTTATCTCTTGAAAAAGTCTTTTAAAAATAAGCGGTTTGCGATCGCGATTTTACTTTACTTGATAGGGAAAGGCGTATCCGCAACGCCGCAACAGCACACCATCGCGCGTCGCGTCGGTCGGTCGCATTTCTCTCGCTCCGACTTAATAAGATCCCTATGCGATTTACTTCCACACATGTAAATGCCGACCCAAAAGTAACAGTTGCCAGCACGGTATGTAGTATAAATGAGGTCTAAATTATAAGAAAATGCATTTTCTACGAAAACTTGAACAGATAAGTAAAGAATGGCATAATACAATTTGATAGACAATTAAATTGTGCATCTGATTTTCATAAAATATACAGGGTGTTCTATTTAAATTAAACAAGTTATTGCCGTTTAAAACTAGTAATTATTTGAAATAAATTTTTAGACATTCTGTATAAGGTAGTGTAATTTTATTATTGCAACACAAAATTTAGTAAATAGAAATACTTCAGTACAATATTTGGTTTTAAAAACTTAAATACGCCTAGAGAAATGAAGCATTAAAATTATTAGTGTATTTTGACAAAAACCTAAATATTTCAAAACGGTAAGATTAAAATGCGGTAAACCTTAATCAAACTTACCTTTATTTTAATCGTAGAAACTAAAAATGTAATAATATACAGGGTGTTTCGTTTAAAAACACAACTTTGATATTTTTAGTTGGGACACTCTGTATCTTGTAATAATATTTTTAAATTGTAGCTCTAATAGTCTTCTTACGAACCCAAAACTTACAATTTGCAAAAAATCTAATAGTTTAGCTTAATACTCTGTGTCGTATGTGGTGAACAACCCTGTGTATTTAAAAAACGCTCTATATTAACCTACATTTGCTCACAAAATTTTAATACACACTATCAATATCCTAGAGCCTCTGCTTCGTATACCAGGCACCATCCTGTATTCATCTCTTTAAAAAAAATTGGCGCCCGGAGGCACGTATAGCCGCCCATACTAAAATATGTTAATAAAAAGTTGGTAGGCAGTTCTTTTAGTTTCAAAGTAAAGGAATTTTTCCAATTTTTTCTATCTCGAAAACTGCGACTTTGTCTGATTTTGATGTTATTACAAATTTTGTTGCAAATATTATTCCTAATCTTAAATTGAAAACCGCGTTTCGCTAGCTACTGTAATTTTGGAGTTAAGATTTTTTTAAATTTTTAACCCCCTCCCATACCCCCTTACCAATCCCCCACCCCCACCAAAAACTAATGGTCAGGATTCTCGGGTACCACAATTAGGGAATGCAATCCCGCAAATGCGGGATCCCTCTGTGATTCCGCGGGATCGAATTTGCGGGATTTACCGTGCGGATCGACACCAGGGGATTCCCCTTACGGCTTGGCCATTAAAAATAAGTGAAACAAACAGGTTAGTTGTTAGATTTCTTTTTGGCATGCGTAAGCGAAGAAAAGCGTTTAACTAGTACTTGTGGACAATTTCGTCAAATAAACTGCCGGACATAATTATCGGGACAAGAAAAATTTTGGGGTAAATTTAAAGTTGAATATTTCTTGAACTAAAAAAGATTTTGGGATGCGGTTTGGACCAGGTTTTAGATGCATCTGTTGTGATTAAGATACTATGTGGTTTTCGAAAATATATTTAGCGAATTCTCGTATACAGGGTGTTTTATAAGAGTGTGAAAATTTGGTTAAGAATCTTTTTTACCGCAAATTTACAATTTTTAAAAAATCGAAATTTTTACAAAGTACGACTAATCTGTATTGAAATTAGAAAAAAACAATTTGATCGGGTTTTTATTTTTTTTTTATTTTAAGGAAAATACGATGTTTTTTCGAATAATATGCATTTTTAATCATACGATGGTCCTAAATGGTACAAAAAGCTTTGTACATTCTGAATATGCCAAAAAATTATTAATATAGAGTGTACCTAAAGGTAGATAACTAACACAAGTTGAAAAAAATCTTCAACATCAGAATAATATTTTTATTTATAAAATAAGTAGATAAATTATAATAAAATTTAAGTTTATTTAATATTAAATATATTTTTTGAACACCCTGTATACATCGGTCCAAATTTCTGTACAGCTAGAAGATACACGCTATATTAGTACATTGTGAGCCTATGCAAAATGTACAATGCCTTTTGTACCATTTAGGACCAAATGTATTATTTAGGACTATAAATGCATATTTTTCGAAAAAAAAACTCGTATTTATCTTAAAACAAAAAATTGTACATAGTTAAAATTTCGATTTTTTAAAAATTGTAAATTTTCGGTAAAAAAAATTCTTCACCAAATTTGTACACTATTATAAAACACCCTATATACGAGAATTCGCTAAATATATTTTCGAAAACCACATAGCATCTTAATCACAATAGATGCGTCTAAAACCTAGTCCAAACCGAATCCCAAAATCAAAGAGAGAAAAGAAAAGCATTTATTGTTTACACTCCCGCAATTTTGCGGATCCGCGGGATTGATTGCTTTAATCATATAGGTCATTTATGACCCAAATAACTCATTTTGAGTGAAATTAAAAAAACTTTTTTTTTGCCGATCCTAATAGCCTACCATACCTATTGGTATGGTCGACTAATAATTAATTATTAACTTACATCTCTAACCATATTGAACATAACTTTATGGTTTGGCGTTTCTCCAGCACAGTATTTTGGCCAACCATTCTGTTTCGCCGACGCCATAAAATATGGTCTCATGTAGTGATCTGCTGGAGCCTCCTAAGCATATTTTTGTAAAAAATAACAATAATATTAAGTAAAAACTTTGAATAAGAAGACTAAGGAAGGAGCATATCAAAAATCTAGAGTCCACCGCGATGGGACTCAAATATGGCCGACTTAAATTCCGGTTTATCAGTGCCGTTCTAATTTTATTTAAAAAATGTAAAACTACGATGTAGGGTAGACTCAATAATTTTTTATTTATTTTACGTTGTAAATAAATGTTGGTAGTTATTCAAATTGTTATAAAAACATATTATTATAATAAAAATAGATAAGTTTTAATAATTATTTATTAACACAAACATCCGATACGCTACTGAAGCAGGTAAGTCAAATTGACGTATCTACATTCTTTGACATCTAATCTTTGACAAGTAGTAAATAACAGCAAAAATGCAAGAAAAAATATATAACTAGTTAATTTAAGTGAATTTCATAAATGATCGGTTTACTACACGTATGTGTATATTATATAGTCACTTACTAGCGAACATTATTTCACTCGATTTTTGCCGAGATCTACCGCACGCTACACAACCAACTATTTTAGAGTCTTTTTCGATAAATCGCGATAGTGTCACTGTTAATTTAAGTTCTAATTTACATCTAGATTTACTACCTTACATACAACTATCAGTAGTAGAATAAATAATAAATAACATAAAATAAGCTCCGTAAAGACTGACAAATCCACAAAATTTCAAATCAAATTCAAATGTGTCAAATGAATCGTCAAACAGAACTGTCAAGGATCCCCACCATCCCCACCCTAGAGTCCTTTTTCCGCCCACCATGCATGAATACATAGATAGCATTATGCTCCTTTCTTAGTCTTCTTATTCAAAGAGTAAAAATAAATTATTAACCTCAAATCCATTCAATCTGTAAGTAAAAGTGCCTTGATCGGGTAGATCTTCGAAGAAAGCCGTTACATAGCCGACGTTTTTGTAATCTTTCCATATAAACGGATAAACGTCTACATTATGGGTGCCTTCTAATCGTTTCCTAGTGTCTGGAAGTTCAAGTTCAGTTTTTCCTGTTAGCATAGGAATTAGAGCCTGCGGAGTTCCATCGCCCACTACGTTGTATCTGAAAATATTTACTTACTGAAAGTTACAAATTAAAAATACGTATTTTTAATAACATGTATTTCTATGAGTCTACTATACAAGGTGTCTCACTGCGAACTACTTCGATTGACATATCAGAAAGGACTTTTCAAAGTCGACAGTATTTTGATTTTGGTTCACCGTATAATATATGCAAATATTTGTTGTAGGGAAACAACAAATTAATTTTTAAGGCCCCCATCATACACTGGTTATTTTACACGAAAATTCAAATTACAAATTTTCATTTTTTTCACGAAAAAAATTAACTTGGAATAGAAGTATACCGGGTGCGTCTCAAAAGTGGCTCACACCTATAACTTTTTATTTTTTCAGATACACGGTATACCACCCTAAAAAATATTTGCTCTTGTCTAGACACACTCTGTACTTATTAATACGCTTTATCAACAAAAAGAACAAAATGGTGATTTATATGCATTTAAAAAAATATCTACTTTGAGTCTATTTCATTGAAATTATTTCTCTGCAAAACACCCGGTATAACTACAGCAAAATAAACCCCATAAAGTGCAGGTGATAACATAAAAAGCATTACTAACAAAATAAATAAATATATATATATATATATATATATATATATATATATATATATATATATATATATATATATATATATATATATATATATATATATATATATATATATATATATATATATATATATATATATATATATATATATATATATATATATATATATAATATATAAATTGGAGAATGATGTAAAATTCCGTAACATCCTGTGTATTTATTATAAAACTAAATAACTTAATCATAAATCATTTTAAGTTTAAAGCTTATTTCATTGTGAATATGAAAATATTATTTTTTCGAGTTTAATTGGGAGAAAAGGGCGTCACAATAGCCTTTGAAATGGCCTATAATGCCTATATATTTATATGGAAAAATATTAAAACTGTTTCCAGACACGTCAATTTACAAGAAAATAAATTCAGTAAAAGTTATTTTTTGAAAACACTGAAAACAGTTGTATCTAACATACATAGTATATACCGAGCGCATCTCAAAAGTAGCTCACCCCTATAACTTTTTTATTTTTTCAGTTAAAAAACGAGATTTGGTATGTTAGTATATGACATAAATAAGGATTCATTGATCTGTTCAATTGTTATCGGTCACTTCCTGTTTCACCGGAAATAACTACAATTTTCGATTTTTAAATGGCACCCTTTGACATTTTCACCCCAAATGACCCCCCATTTGACATATTATATGTCATTCTATTCAAAGTGTCATTTTCTATCGAATAAAGTAGAAATATGCCGTGGTGCCATTTAAAAATCAAAAATTGTAGTCATTACCCGTGAAACAGGAAGTGATCAAAACCAAATGAATACGTCAATCAATCTTAATTTATGTCATATACTAACATACCAAATCTCGTTTTTTTTATCTAAAAAAATAAAAAAAGTATAGGGGTGAGCCACTTTTAAAACGCACCCGGTATAGGTCACTATGACGCCTTTTTTCATATATCATAGGATATGAGGACTTCTATTTTACCTTCCACGAACTAGTTAAAATATTAACTTTATTATTTTATAGCTTTAAAAATATGATTTATGATCATTATTATTTATAACCAGGCAATGTTTACAAAAATAATGTAAACGATAAGAGCGATGAAGTTTTTTTGAAAACGTCTGAACACTGTTTCACAATTATTGGTAGGATAAGAATTAAAAAATCCATAAATTGAATATGATTTCTTCCAGTTTTAGTGACTGTGGTTTCTATTAGTTACATGAAATTGATGATGGAATTTAGTAACAGGAACTATAGATAAGCGATTCTTGATATTTCTAAGTTGTTTAGTGCAATCTATATAACTTATCAAGGCATACTACATTGCAAATCATGCATATGACAGATTCTCTATCATTTAAAAGTTACCCTTGAAGGACAATAGCATCCAGAACATTAACTAAGTAATCGTAGCTTTTCGGAAGTTTTCTTATAAATGAGTTTCGAGAAATCGAATCAAAACCAAACAGTAAAACGTTCATTTTTAAGGAACTACTGGACATTTCCTCCCAGTTGGCTTTGTCCCAAATATTGTTATCTATTCTGATACCTGTTAAAATTGCAGACCACTTATAGTCTGCAGATTTACACGAAACTTTTACCTAAAATACATAACGAAATCCTACTGTTTAGTTGGATAAACTACATAATATACTACGAAATATATAAACATCCCGTTATTGTCAAAGATTTTAAGAAATTACTAATTTTATACTTACCACATCACTTTGCTCTAATTTATAATATTCACTGGAGTAGAATGTTTCACCGTCAATTAATTTAAAATCATTGACGCGAATTATATCAGTAAATGAGCATTTAATGGGGCCGTATTTAATTTTGGCTTGTTCCCGTATAACACATTCAGAACCCTATAAATACCTACATAATTTAATAACAAAAGAATATATAATTATTCAAAACTTACATGACACTTGACCCAATCTATTCCAGATTTTGTGCAATCAATTGGAGCAACGTTTTTTATAAATTTCATTATTTCAGGAGCATAAACCGGTAAAATTGGTTTTTTACAAGATATATTACTAGCCTCTTTTTTTATAAACAAATTAATTTTTTCTCTAAAACCATCAGAAAAATTAAAATAATTAAAAATCAAAACCAGCTTGTCTCGTTAAAATGGTTTTAAATTAAATATTCATAAAAATTTGTACTTACAGTCGCGCTTTTCGATCAATATCATTTATTAGCGAGTAATGAAACCAAAAGAATAAAGTGCAAAGTGTTATTCCAAAAATAACCAGCACATAAAACTTTTTCTTGATCATCCATATACACATTTTTATAAAACCCATAATAATATTTAATTGAGTATTAAAAAATTACATACCGGAATCTATAAAGTATTTGAAAAATGTATTTTAAAAAAATTGATAAGACCCGCCTGACACTATGTAAACATCAGAATTTGTTTTTGTTCAGGCAGTTAGGGTATACAACCTATTAAACTCTTTAAAAGGAAAAATACAGTAAGTTTGATATATGATCATCATATATATTAGTTTTATAAAATAGTTGTTGATTGCTATTAAATATTAAATGGATATGCAATAAAGTATCTAATGACAATATAGGTTTGATAATGGAGTAATTAGTAATAGATAAATATTTTACTTGTTATTTGGAAATAAAGTATTTTGAATAGTCATATATTATAGCCATAGAGAAGTTGTTATTTGACAAATTATGTTCTGCAACCAGTTATACACATGTAGTTTAGGTTTAGATTAGACCTATGGTAGACTCTAGGTTTAGAATTGTGGTTTAGAATTTAGAATTTTAGAACAATTTACAATAGCATCAAGATCAAATTCCTTCTTTTCTTTTAACAAATTTAATAGTTAAAAGTATGTTATCTCGCCTTGTTTCTCGAAGATTTTTTACCCAAACTATTCCATCCTATAGGCATCTTACGGTCAGTGCTCCAATATATCAAATAAAAGCTGATGTTGATGCCGATGCGCCCAAAATTGAGGTTAGAGAAATTAGCAAAGACAGAACTGAATCGATTAGTGTAGAGACTAGTGTACGATATTTGAAAAGTACTGCATACGAACAGACCTATGGAAAAGAGCCTGTGTGGCATCGTTATAGAAGAAATCACAAAGGATTATTTCCTCCTAAAAAAACCAGGAAGAGTTGTATAAGAGGGGGTCAAGTTGCTACAGGAAACCCATGTCCTATTTGTCGTGATGAATATTTAGTGCTGCACGAACAAAATCTTGAATTATTAGAACAGTTCATATCTCCACACACAGGCGGTATTTTAAGCTATAACAAGACAGGACTGTGTCAGAAGAAACATCAACAATTAGAAATCTGTGTTAGGCGAGCATATGACAAAGGGCTGCTAACGTTTGATGTGCCCTTTAGAGAATACGATTATTCTGAATATTATTCAAAGAAGAAATAATGTTAGCTGATTTTGTAATTGTAGGGGGAGGTATAGCTGGTGTTTCTTGTACTGAAACATTAGCTTTTCTCGCACCTGAAAAATCTATAATACTTTTAAGTGATTCAGCGTTGATTAAAACAGTTACTAATTTGCAAGCTATAACAAAAACTCTATGCCAGTTTGATGTTGAAGAACAGTCGAGTGATTATCTTACTCAAAAGTATAAAAATGTCACTGTTATTCATGATGTTCTGAAGGAAATCCAGGATGAAAGTAATTATATAAAAACCGGAAAAGGAAAAGAAATACATTATAAATCTTTATGTTTATGCATGGGTGCAGAACCAAATTTAATTCCACAACATCTACAATTTCCAGATCAGATAATTGGTATTCGAGATACTGATTCAGTTGACACTTTCATAGAAAAGCTGAAGCACTCAAAGACAATTGTAGTTGTAGGCAATGGAGGTATTGCTTCAGAAATTGTTTACAAAATTCAGAACACTGAAATTCATTGGGTTATAAAAGACAAGCATATTTCAGCAACCTTTGTCGATCCCGGAGCAGCAGAATTCTTCCAAGATTCTTTACATAGTTCTCATCCTAATGAACAAGTAGTTAGCAAAAGAATGCGTTATAAAGAGGATGAATATAATAAATCTGGAGCAGCTCTTGGACCTGATTGGTACAAAAATTTAATGATATCCGGAGCAAATACCAATACCTTAGAAAGAAAAGTTAACATCCATTATGAGAATGAAATTAGTACAATTTCTGGCTCAAAGGACCGTGCTCTGGAAGTACTGTTAACTGACGGACAAAAAATATCTTGTGATTTAATAATATCAGCTACAGGTGTTACGCCAAGAACAAATTTCAACACAAAAAATAAATTACTTCTCTCAGAAGATGGAGGAATCAGGGTTGATGATCATTTAAAAACAAACTTAAACAATATCTACGCTGCTGGTGATATATGTTCTGCAAATTGGCAGTGGGCTAAGCATTGGTTCCCTATGAAATTATGGACCCAGGCTCGACAAATGGGATGCTACGCAGCTCAATGCATGGTCGGGCAGTTAAACAAAGAGGAAGTTTTGCAAGATTTCTGTTTTGAGATATTTACTCACTCAACTAAACTGTTCAGTTATAAAGTTATTCTTCTCGGTCTGTATAATGGACAAAAGTTGGATAATAAATACGAGATTTTAGTGAGAACTACTCCCAAGATGGAATATATCAAGTTTGTCATAGAGAATCATAAGTTGCAAGGAGCTGTTCTAATTGGCGACACAGACTTAGAAGAAATGTGTGAAAACTTAATTTTAAATCAGATTAATTTAGAACCTTATGGGGATGATATTTTGAATCCCGATATTGATATAGAAGACTATTTTGATTAGTTGTTTTGTTATATTGGTAAATAAAAGCATTTAATCTTATAGATTTTTGTATTTTCTTTAATTTTGTCCACTATTGCATAAAAAGAATAAACATTAATACTTTGAGGGGAAACTATAGTGAATCTCATATTTAAAATAATTATTAGCAAAATTTAAGTATGACAATTTTATATGAATTTCTAATTTAAAAGTTTATTATATTTCTTACTATGGAAGAGGCTAGTTTAAATAAAACCATATACATACTTTAATTACATATTTATTAAATAAAAATATTAAGCCTTAAGAGCGTATATTCTTTGTGGAAAAACTGAATTCTTTTTGAATGCTTTGTGGGTTTGCAAGTTCCTTTCACGATTGGTCAATCCACGGCGGATAGCACGAGTCTTCTTTGACCTTAAGTCTAGTGGCTTGTACTTCTTATTCTTGTGCAGTTTCCTCAAGTTTTCCTTTTGCTTTTGGTGCATAACAATATATACACGAGCAATAGCTTTACGTACCACTCGGCTAAAAAATAAAAACTTGTTTTAAACAAAAAATTAAGTATTTAAAATGCTATTCTTTTTACAAAAAATCAAGTAGGGTTTTAGAATGTTTCACAGTTAAAAGAATAACACTCAACATTGTTAATTTGCAGCTTAAAAACAGTGTAAAATGATTAGTAACTATAAAATAGGACTTGAATGAAAATAACACTTACATTTTTGAAAGTTTAGAAGGGGCTCCTCCTGTGACTTTTGCTACACGTAAATTAGTTAATTCCTTTTTAAGATCATCGAGCTGTTTGGTAAGCTCTTTTTTGTCTTTACTTCTCAGATCGGAACACTTAACTTTACCCTGAAATAAAAACAAAATATAACCTTATTAATACTTACTATTTTATACTAAATTATAACTAGAAACTCAATGTAATGGGGGTAATATTGATATTACAGAATGTAAAACTAATTAATCTTTATAAATTTAAATAGAAGATTTGTGGATTTATTTTTCCAGTAAAGATATTTGAAGATTTTTCAGAAAACGTACCATTTTTGCTTTTATGGGATAATGACAGTTGGTAAAAGGGGTTTTTAAAAATCAAATTCCCCAAAATAAAATTTAACATTGGTAGCCCTGCTAAATGACAATAAAGATTTTATTTGATGATAAAATTTATCTGATAATATTTTAATAATTAAATTTAGCGACATTGATAATACCGCGACATTTTAATACACATTATTTTAATAGATTAATATGCAAAAAGTAAAATAAAATAATATCAAATCATATATGAAATATATGATTTCGAATGTAAAGGTTTACTGCCCTATTATCATATTAATAGTTCAGCTGATATTATTCATTTCAGCCAATGAGCATCTTCCACATGATTTTCGGTAAATTCATCTGATATTTTGACGTTGGCTGTTTAATAAAAATTCAGTGATAGTATTATTAAATTTAAATTTCTGAATAAAAATTTAATTCAGAGTAATTGTTTAAGTAATGATCTTATAAATAAAGTAATAAGGTTCATCTAAATTATGAAGTTAACGAATTATATCATAATTCTAGTCAGTATATTATGTTTTCAAATAGTGTTAGCAGGAAGAGACTTTTACAAGATATTAGGTGTTTCAAAAAGTGCTAGTTTACATGAAATTAAGAAGGCATATCGTCGCTTAGCTAAGGAATTACATCCCGATAAAAATAAAGATGATCCAGAGTCCTCACAGAAGTTTCAGGATCTTGGAGCAGCTTATGAAGTTTTATCTGATGAGGACAAAAGGAAAAAGTATGATAGATGCGGAGAAGATTGCTTACAGAAGGACGGTATGATGGACGGCGGAATGGATCCGTTTGCAAGTTTTTTCGGCGATTTTGGTTTCCATTTTGGAGGTGGCGAACAGAAGAACGAAATACCTAGAGGGGCCGATTTAGTAATGGATATTTTTGTTACGTTAGAAGATTTGTACACAGGTATTGTGAATTTGTCAAGAGTATAAAAGTTGATATAATAGTTTAGAATTTGTTTAGGCAACTTTATTGAAATTACAAGGAATAAACCGGTTATGAAACCTACTCATGGAACACGCAAATGTAATTGTCGACAGGAAATGATCACGAGAAATTTAGGTCCAGGGAGATTCCAAATGATGCAACAAACAGTTTGTGATGAATGCCCTAATGTTAAATTGGTAAATGAAGAGAGGACATTGGAACTAGAAGTAGAACCAGGTATGTTTCTTAATAATTTGTCTATCTGGATTGGTGCAATATTATTGCCTCTGTATTTTACAAAAAAAAGATCACAGTAATAGTCTAAAAAACACTTAGGTCACCCTGTAATTAATCTTTATTAATTTTTAATATATTGTAGGTATGGTTGATGGTCAAGAAACTAAATTCACCGCTGAAGGTGAGCCACACCTTGATGGTGAGCCTGGTGATTTAATTTTAAAAATTAAAACTCAGCTTCATCCACTGTTTGAACGAAGAGGTGATGATTTGTACACAAATGTTACTATTAGTTTACAGGTATGTAAAAATATCTTTTAATTTGCTTTAAGAATTAAACATAATACATTGTAGGATGCTCTTGTGGGCTTTACCATTGAATTACAACATCTAGATGGACATATGGTGTCAGTAACAAGAGATAAAATTACTTGGCCCGGTGCCAGAATTAGAAAGAAGGGTGAAGGGATGCCCAATTATGAAAACAATAATTTACAAGGAACACTTTTTATTACTTTCGATGTTGAGTTCCCAAAACAGGAACTTAGCAATGAAGACAAAGAAGGTAATTCATTATTTTTTATTTTATTGAATTAAAATTTAAATGTTGTTTGCGTTTACTATGATTACTATTATTATTGCAGCTATTAAGAAGATTTTGAACCAGAGTTCCAACAACAGGGTATATAATGGACTTGGGGGTGTTTAGAGTTAACTGAAGAAATAAATGGTTGAGTCAAACCATACTATGTATATAATTTAGGAGTATGAGTGCTGGATGTGTTTCTAGATGTGAATTTTTTGAATTTATTTATTGTGAGTTACAATATTGCTAAGTGCAAACTGAACAAGACCCAGTCTTAGGTATTTTTTGTTTTGTAAATTATTTGTAAATTAAAACACTTAGAATAAACTTTTTGGTTTCTTTTTGTGCAATATGATCGAATAAAAACGACGTCAGCGATGCTATGAAATGAAGATCGCTGTCATTTTATTATGTAAAATTATATGGGGAATGTCATCGATCGTCATTTCCAAAAGTTTCTAAATTCTTTTCATATGTTTATTTAATTAGTTAGTAATATAAAGACTATGTGAAAAATATTCATATATAAATTTAAAATATTCATCTAAAAATTATGTGGAAAATATAAAAGAATCTGGGATCATAAAATATAAATCACGAGAAGAAAATTTATAAATTATGCTATATTTGTCTATGTTGCTACATTTATAACACCAATAGCCTAGTTTTCATGCATCTGAATTTCGGACGTATTCTGCGAAAAAAATATGTCATAAATTTTAAAATATTTTGTATAATGTTTTCGCTAGGGTTTCCAATTTTCGGAATCGGGATCCCGTTTTGAAATCCTGGAATTAGAACCTATAATCCCGGGATTCCGAGATTGACTATTAGAATGAGAAATTTAATCTAAAGAAATAGGTACACAATAAAAACGTAGCTACATATTATATATCAACAAGGAAATGATAAAAGAACTTTATTAAACTAGACAAAACAATGTAACATTCATATTTAGCAAAGATATTTAGTAAGTAAAAAAATACAATTCTTTTTGCAAAAAAAATATTGCAATATAAATAAAGTATGATCTCTGAAAGTCTAATAATTTTCGGGATCCCGGGATTTCTGGGATAAACATTCATCGGGATGCTGGGATTTCAGGATCCCGGTCCCGGTTTGGAAACCCTAGTTCTCATGCATCTAAATATTTTAAACAAGTTTGGCTAATTTTGTGTAGGTACCTGTCAGATTTAAAACATCCGAAATTCTTATAATTCTTGGTATATTCTTTGGTATAATCTAAATACCGTTTTTTTCGATCATACGGTATAGTCGTTAAATCTTTTTTAACATTTTAAGAATTTCATACTGGTATATTATTTTTCGCAGAAAACAACTGAAATTTCGATGAACATTTGGCTTAAGCCATAGCTTTGCCATACACTTAAATAAGAATTTATTTTAAGTCTATGGCTTAAGCTTATTTTTTGGCATAACTGCCGCCGTATATTTTAAAAAGTTGAAATTTAACGTTTTCAAGCATCCAAATATTTTTACGAATCTCTTGGCGAATTTTATATGGGTAGCTGTCAGATCAGATTAAAAGGTCCGAAATTTGGATGCAATAAAATTAGGCTTTAGTCTTTTCTCAAGAATCAGTAAAAATTATATTTAAAATACCTAAATTATTTTTAAAAAATTATACCATACGTTTGAAAAAATAACGGCGTCAGAGATGGCGTCGAAATGAAGACCGTTGTCATTTTATATGTAATATCATATGGGGAAAGTCATGGATTGTTATTTCCAAGCCAACTAAAGGCTTTTTTTAGCCATACGGTATTTACCTATGTTAACATTGAATTTTTACATTATTCTCATCTTTTTTTAATAAAATATGTCTATACCTATGTGGCAGATTCATCTCTCCAAAAAAATCCTTTATGGTTATTTCGCCATTGCACTCTGCAAGAAAATCTACAAAATAAAATAGTTATTTTTTGTAAACACTTCTGCGTTAAACCTAAACGGACACTGCTAGTCAGTAATATTTGTTTTAATGTTTAAATTTATTACCGTCAGTACATTAGTTATAACTGTAGACTCTAGAGTTCAACACAATATCGGGTTTTGCTTAAATATAATTTTGTGTTTTATTCACCATAATGTCCAAAAAAATTTAGGACTCTGTAATTAAATGTAATTACAAATCATATTTCTGCTAAAAAGACAAAGTAAAAAGATATGATGGCGCCATTTCCGTTTTTAAAAATTTATTTTTGACTGTTTTTGACGTTATTCAAAGATTTTTTTTTTAATTTAAAATTTGACATTTAAACGTCATGCCATAATATTCAAATGGCGGTTAATTAGCAAAATAAGAACGTATTTTTAGTACTTAGGTTTTATGACTTAGATATTCTGTAAATTACTTTTAACTACTTCAGAACAACACGTGAGACATACGATGACACTAAAGTATCAAAAAGCACAATATACCCCTTTAGTTCCTGCTAAACATAAAGTAAAAGAAAACACAAAGAAATTTGCATCCATAGTACTATGTTTCTGGCTAACGAGTATCCTAATGGGCATAGCAATATATTTTACCAACTTCTTAGAGTTGGTTTCTTACTCATCCAAAGAGATTTTGGAACATCAACTATACATGGATGACATCGTTATAAATAGGGCTGCTTTAAATGGATACTTGATAAATACAGCAGGTATATATAAAGTTTAATAATTCTTAGATATTTACTACCTATCGGTTTTTTTTTATCAAAGTATTATACGATATTAATTTGTAAGAGATGCGTTAAACGATTTTTTTATGGGTAACACATGAAAATAAGGGTACCAATTTACCAATTAGAAAGTTACCAATTTAAAAAAAAATTACTAAAATATCCACAAAACCGTATTTTTACGGCCTCAAACAAAATGTTTCTACTTTTATGTGTAAAACAGAGTTTTAAACATGTTGTAAACAAATGTTTAAATAAATTAAAATAAGAGATGGTATTTTAAACACGTTTAAAATAATTGTTCAAAATGCTATATACAATGTGTGACAAAAATACGAATTTATTGTGATTTTTTTAATATTTAGTTATTGAAAAAAAACAGCTATAGGGAATCAATTCACCATGCCCAAATCATGCTAAAAGTCATAAATATATTGAGACTTTCAAAAATAACAATTGTTCGGTTATTTTTGGAAAAATTCTTCAATTATACCGGGTGTGTCTCAAAACTATCTCTAGTATATATCTATGTCGTATAAATGTACTTAAATGCTTAGTTTCGGAGATACAGGGTGTAGAAGTTTCATTTTTATTTCGATTTTTTCCAACTAATTTCTGAAGTAACGTCAATATTTGGATGAAAATTGGTGTCTGGGAGTTTTTTGACATGAGAAATTTGATTTTGATGTCAATATGACTCCTATTTGTAGGGGCGCCACCTACATGTGTTCTAACTATTTTAAATAATAATAACTTTTCGTCCGTACCTGTATAAACCTACTCAGTGAAAAAATATAAATTTCCGTGACTTTTTACGTAAACAATGTCTCTTGCGAGGTCTCTTGGTAAAAATCGCTATGAGCATGAGCAACGACCGTTCTCAAGATATTTATATAATGAAAATATTCATACATGTCATTATTGACAAAAAATAAACACGTTGCGTAGATAGTTATTTGACCGAAATAATAAATTTGGGATTTTTTTTATATTAATCATAAATTTTTCTGTGAAAAAATGTTAAAAAAAAGTTTCTGTTGAACTTTTGGCACAAAAACATTTCAAATTTATGATTTATTTTTTGTAAATGTATATTTTTTACTCAGTCGTTTTATACAGGTACGGACGAAAAGTTATTACTCTTCAAAACAGTTAAAATACATGTAGGTGTCGCCCCCTATACCAATTTTCACCAAAATATTGATGTTACTTCAGAAAATATTTGGAAAAAATCGAAATAAAAATGAAACTTCTACACCCTGTATCTCCAAAACCAAACATTTTAAGACATACATTTATACGAACTTTTTTACTTATTTTTATATGCGGAATATGCTGCTGAAGTTTCCGAAATACATTTCGGACCACCTTGTATATTAAATTCGTTCATATAAGTTATTCATATACCATCATAATCAATAATTTGTTTACAGATGTGTGGCATATAATTTTTTTTAATCTATATAATTAAATTAATAATCTATATAATTAATTTTCATAGATTACCTTTTCACTTGCCTAGTGACAACTGTATTTATTTATTTAGAGCATTATAATCGCAAAGATAATATCATTTACAAGATTTATAAGTGTTAATCAATTTGTTTAGAGATTTAAAAATTAGTACATATTTAGCCGAAATAATAATTATATCCGAACTTAAAAATCTAATAATCTTCATTTTTGTGAAAGCCAAATGTTAAAGCACTTAGCAAAACGTAGGAACCCCAAATCTCATTGAAATCGGAATAACGGTTCTTGAAATAACTTGAGAAATGTGTTAATTTTTTAAAGCTTGATGACGGACAACGGACAAACGAAACACTTGTATATAGGTAAATTATGTCCAATCATTGATTGAAAGAATTGGGAAGATACGCAACCTTAATGGGCGAATTCGTGACAAAAGGCTGATTTGATTTTCCCTTTCGTCTCAAGTGCTGTACGGTGGAGACACCAATCGTTTTGCGGTCAACGCATAAAACACTTATTTTCTCTAATTCGTCCAGCGGAGGCATATCGAAGACGGTCTGGATCTGAAAGCGACAGTGTTGCCATATTAAAATGTATAATATCTGTAATGCGTTTATATATGACGAAAGTATCTTTGGATGAAAATCCTCGTTTATGTATTGAACATTTATTCGTGTTAAACATAGTGTTGCGGGCCGGTGTGGACTCGACCTAACCTCACAATATGGCCCGCCCTCGGATGACCTTAACATCGCATAGACACCGCAATGATTCATTCGTTCGAGAAGAATCGAGTCCCACTGGAATGGACTAGTACATACGAGAACATTCGAAAACCTTCTCTACGCACCTAACGATCTATGGACAATTCTAGAGTTCTTTACCTGTCGGTATAAAAGCCGGCGGCGGTGGCTAAAGGGGGCAGTTATAAATATACCAGTGCAGTTGACGCGCTAAAATTCAAAATAAATTCTTAGTTATAAATCGTTTGTAAATAGTTCTATAAGTCTTTTATCGTTATTGTTTTTGTTAATTAGTGTTAAATAAATAGTGTTTAAATAAATTGTGACTTTCTATCCACACGGAACCGACGAAAAACGTAACAATTGGTGTCAAGTGTGGCGTATGTGATAGACAAGAAAAATAAAAAGACTGACCATGGCTCTGAAAAAATTGTTGAAAGACTTGAAAGTGTCCGAACTGAAATGTATATTGGAAGAGAGAGTGCGAGACAGATGGAAAGAAAAGCATTTTGCAAGCTAGACTGAGAGACGTTTTGGTGGAGGAAGGTGAGGATCCTGACACATTTTGCTTTGAGTTGGAAGGTGACCTTGACTCGTGCCTACACAAATTAGACGACCACTTGAACAATTTGAATAGTAAAATGATTAACTTGGAAGAGAGTTTGAATGATAAAATGACAGAGAATTCTCAAAAATTAGACGACAACTTGAACAATTTGAATAGTAAAATAATTGACTTGGAAGTTAATTTAGAAGAGAAAATCAGTGATAAAATTATGAAAAATTCCCAGTATTTAATCAATACATTAGAAGATAAGATCATCGAAAATTCTAAAGATATACAGGCCAGCTTTAATAATAAAATACTTAATTTAGAAGAAAAGATAACAGAAATCCAGGAATCTTCCAGGGAATTAGAAGAAAAGATTATAGATAATTCTACAGAACTACAAGACAAAATAACACAAATTGAGGACGATGTAAATAAAAAAAATCGAAATTTTAAAACAAGAAATAGAAAAGGCCAATTCACCAAAATGTCAAGAAACATCGGAGGCACCGAAACTAGTCGAAAATAAGTATATCTCAAAGTCAGTTATTAAGCCTCCACAGTTTGACGAAAAAAAACCGCTTGGGCCAATTATTTTTGCCAGTTTGAGGCCGCTGCGAGAGCGAACGGATGGACAATCGCTGAAAAGGCTACCGCTTTGACTGTCGCACTGGAGAATGCGACTGATATCCTGCAGACACTGTCACCATCGGAACAGGGAGATTATCAGCAATTGGTACGACATTTAGAAATGAGGTACGGCCAAGCTCATTTGGAACATGTCTATCATTCACAGCTAAAAAATCGCATTCAAAAGTCAAATGAGTCTCTGCAGGAGTTTGAAGCCGACGTAGCCCGCCTGGTTCGCCTTGCGTATCCTGCTACGCCCGAGAATGTTATGGAGCGGTTGGCAGTACAGACATTCTCCGATGGCTTACGTGACAGGGAGACAAGGCAAGCGCTTCTTCTAGCCCACCCAACGCGCTTGGTGGATGCTTTAGCACGTGCCCTAGAATTTGAGGCCGCGAAACAGTTCTCGGTCTCTAGTGAGAGTACGGGCGGTCAACCAATGTTCCGACAAATCCGTGGAAAGCATTGTACGGAAAGTCATGGAGGAGTACATGGGCAAGAAAGGACCGACTTGTTGCTGGAATTGCGGCCAGGCAGGACACGTAAGAAGTCACTGTCAAGAAAAAGACGTGGACTCGGTTTCGCCAAGTGTCGAATCAAAGGGACACATATGGAGCAGTACCCAACAGGTTCCAACGAAAACTGTTCAAGTCGCATCGCTACAACACAAGTTCAACAGCATTTTTGTGGCTAGTTTCGTGGATGGAGAGTTACGGACCATGCTGTTGGATACGGGTGCGACCAAAACGATCATCAGGCCGGATATCCTTAAAACATCAAAAAGGATTAAAACAACACAATGGCGACTACGTACAGCTACAGGAAGCTGCGCTCTCATCCATGGAGAGGTAGATCTTAATTTTGTTATCGGAAGCACCTGTTTTAATCATCGAGTGTTAGTAGCAGACATCGAAGATGAACTTATTCTCGGAATGGACATCGTGACCACTAGAGGTTTTGAACTAAACCTCAAACAAGAAATTTTGAAAATAAATGAAGAAGAAGTGGTTCTACATCGAAAATGTGAGGAGACGCTTCGCGTGGTAGTAGCAGAAGATGTTTCGATCCCTGAGCGCTGTGAGATATTTTTGGATGGTCGCCTGGAAGGTAAAACGAATAATGGGAGTATTATTCTGTTGGAGCCAAGGAACCATGACAGCGAAATAGGACGAGGGGTCGCTGTTGGAAAACCCCTGCTACGAGCGAAGAAGTCTGTACCGGTAAGAGTAATGAACACGAATTATCATTCTGTATCCTTGAAGAAGGGAACCCTGTTAGGGTACTGTTGTTCGGCCTCCTCAGTCATTCGAAGCGTGGAAGCCTCCAAAGTTTCGATTTCAAAAATTCCGGACAAAATGGTTAAGGAGTTAGTAAACGTTAAGGGATTATTTCCCGAAGATAGTAGAAAATTGAGAAACCTGATAATCAAGTATCAAGATGTGTTTGATAAAGGAGAAGCAGGACATAGAGGTCGTACCAATTTAGTACAACATAAAATTGACACCGGAGATGCACGACCAATCAAACAAAATCCGAGTAGACTGCCGCTCGCCAAACGTGAAGAAGCTGACAAAATCCTTCGA